AATAAAGAAACAAATAATTTGAAATAAATAAATTACTTTAAAAAAAAGAAACAGTGGAAAGAAGACACGGACTTGCGTTGAAGCCTTTTGTGGCGAAGGGTTTGCATAGCATCCTACCATAACTGAATTCAAGGGGCACGTCCCACAGGTGCTATGTTCATGCTAAAAAAGCATGAATTCAGTCACAGAGAATGACCACGTTCATGATTTCTTGGCATGCACAGAGCACCCATGGAACCTGGCCCTAAATCGAGGCCAGAAAGTTGGACATTCAGCAGAGTCTGGGTGTCCGGATCCAATCCAAACAGACCAGCCAAACAGCTAGCCAGACAGCCTACAGGTAGGGGTGCACAAAACAAAGATCATCTAAAAAAAAGAAAGAAAAGAAAAAAAAAGATATTGCCAAAAAATGATCTCGCCTGGCCCCGTGTAAGAACGCACAGGCATCGCTGATTGGGAGAGCACTCACAATAAACACGGCTATCTTTTCCACATTATGGTACATTGCACCGATCTGGTCCCCCTCGGACGACGACCTCCAAACTATAAAGGCCAGAGCAAGATGCTATCTTTGGACAGGAGACCCCAACCGAACCTCATGCATCAACAGGGTAGTGTGGAGCCATATCATTAGGAAACCGCGGGAGGGAGGCCTGGGCCTGAGTGGTCCCAAGCAAGAGTCAATAGCACTGCAGATGAAATGGATCATCAAGATCCTGACCAGACAATACCTACCATGGACCAAGATGGCCCTAGATAGCATAAGAAACCTAGCACTGATAAGCTCCCCACCTAATATGAGTGGCTACTTCTGGATTATGGCAAAGGAGTGGGCGATAAGATCAGGAAGATCCCGCAGAAGCACCACACGAGACTCAGACAACCACCCAACCCCAACGCCTAACCCATACTGGACTCCAACTTTGAAAGCTTGGCGGCGAATGATGCCAAGCAAACATGGCACAGCGGAAAGCCAAGCAAACATGACACAGCGGAAAACAAAGAAGAGATCTTGAGACAACCACTGTTTTGTAACCCATGGATCAAAGACCCCGAGGGCACTCCCCGGTCACTTCGATTGAAGGATCAAAGATGGCTAGCCTGGGTCGAAAAAGGGGTATGGCAGATAAAACACCTGTGGGCAGAAGAATGGGGCGAATGGCGTACGGAACAACAACTCCGCCCCATTTTAAAAGGTTGCCACTCCCTCATAGACAACCTAACTCAAATACAGAAGAGCATCCCACTACAATGGCTTCTCCTCTTGAAAGAAGGCTTCTCCTGGAAATCAGGGGACTGGGGTACACTCATATACCAGACTTCGCCCAACAGAGCTTACCGGTTCATATCCCGCACCTCAGCCAACAGCTACCTCTCCAAATTCTGCTCCTATCCCGTCGCCAACCATAACCTCCAGGAGCTAGCTATCCTCAACAAAGAACCCCAGCTAGAGATGATAGAATCCTTCCTACTGAGAAAAGTGAGGGTATCGAAAACGAAACCGTGGTTAATCTTCCAACCTGACCACACCATAGCAGAGCTCCAATTCGATCCAAAGGAGTGGATATGGAAACAAGGCAGATCCGATAAAACAAGAACGATACTTGAATATGACGTAAAATTCGGATACAATCTAGGCCTACAGACCACAGACCCGGACCCCAAACTAAAAGACAAACGGAGAGAGATGCTGAACCTTGAGCTGACAGTCCCAATAGCCATCCCCTGGACAAAATACCTTCCCATCAGACCAGCCAGAATTCGCAGCATGCAGCGACTCCTAGCCCACGGAGCACTTCCTGTCAACCTGTGGCTCCACAAAAGGAGGAAACACTCGGACCCCGACAGCTCGGAACTGCGTTCTGTGCAGTGACAGAGTTCCTGAAGACATACCGCACTGTTTCCTCTACTGCAGTCAGGCCGCCTGGATATGGAACAAAGTCCGAAATCTTTGGTCGAAAACTAGGGTAGGGCAAGCTGACAGTCAATCCTCCTATACAGGAGTAATCAATGCTGGTCAGGGTTCCTTCTGCCGGGCGGAAGGAAGCGTGAGCATGTACCACGATGTATTTCAATGTGACTTGCCGGTGG